TTATCATTGGGTTGCAACAAAATATATTTTTTCATTAGCGCAGGAAATGGTATCATAATCCAACAGTTGTCCTAAAATAAACCCACCTCCACACCTGAACAAAACTGCATCTATTTTATACTGTATCACAAAAAGAGACAGGAATAATTGTAGTAGTAATTGCTAGACAATTTAAACCTAACATTCTACTGATTTGCTTGAAAGTATCAAGGACTAAAACTACACAGCCCATATTAATATTTTCAGAAGCATATTGTCCAGAACGTTATTTACATCCAATTTATGTAATTTTTATTTCTCTATAGAACCAAAATCTAAGCATTGAGAAGAATAGGAACAGAAATAGTGCTCTTTTTTCCTTATTTTCTAATAAAGCTAAGGAAGGTTCTGGTTTCAAGTCAATCATTTCCCATTTCGATATTTCCCGGATAAGCCTGATTAAGACTAAATATGGCCAAATCCAACTCACACTTTCCCCTTTTTTCTGTTCTCCAACTAGAATCAATGAACCCATTCATTTTTATACTAATTTTCTTCCCACAAAATACAGTTAAGTATATGCTAATGTATTTCTTGGAAACAAGTTAATATTACTGCAAAGGCAATTACCAATCTGCCCAAAGATCTTGTTTTGTATTAACTCTCTAGAAACTTCAGAAACTAAATAAATATCAAGTGTAGTTTCTGGCATTCACTATTCTATTCTTATTTCCACTATTACTAATTATATTGTTCTATTTTCTATTTCCTGATGAAGACACCAGATCGCTAAATTCTTAACTCGGTAGCTTAAAAACGGAGCACTACCCCGATAAAGAAACAGGGGAGAGTAGTAGATAAAAGCATGCGCAGAAACAGGAAAAGCAGGAAATGAATGTATATAGGGCAGAAAGGTTTTTTTTTTAAAAAAAAGGTTTTTAAAACTTTCCTCTGAATTATAAGATGGCAGGGAAGTGTATGACAAGATTACAACAAGCCTAAACCATAGGAAAAATCCTGACATCTGATTATTCACCAAATACTAAGGCCCTTCCTCTACTTCTGATTCTTGTGCTGTTTCTGAGGTGTTCAACCTTCTTGATCCTGGCAGTGGAAACTGGATCCCACTTAGGCTGAACACCAGATATTGCCCAGATGGAGAAGGAAAATAACTGCACAGCAGCAATATGGATTTTATATTCCCACTAGTACAGACTTTTTATTATTCTGGATGTTAGTATCTATTATGGGAATCTTGGCTATAATTGCGGTTTTGTACCCTTCCCCCTTCTTACTAGGTGAAGTTTTTTTAAAAAATTGCATTGTTCTATGCTGTATTTGGATATAATAATATTAAGTTTCAAGTTTCACTGCCAATGAATATTAAATGGGTGACTGAAATCTGAAACTGGCATGGCCCTACACATTTTTTAAATTGTGTTTTATGGAATACTAAAGTTCCATGAAAACTTGAAAGATCAGGGACAAAAAAACCATTAAAATGTAAACAATTTTCTATCACCAGAACTTTACAACATTGTATAAACATGGCCAAGATGGTTGCAGAATTTGCTAGATTAAAAAAATTCCCAGAACTCCTGCTGATTATTTAGATTTGAGCACTGGAATTGTCCAATGCTAATGTTGATACATGAAACTAATTGTAAAGATAGTTCAGGAACTGCAGTTAGCCTATTTGTGGCCTACACTGAATTGGGACTGCCTATAATGTCCTATTAAGCTGATGCCTATGTGCACTTGTCTATGTTTTTGAGATCAGAAAACCATTCTGATATTCTCTGTGAAGATAGCAAGAAACAAGTCTAAACACTGGTGATACCACAGTTCTTGAACATTCTCCTGGATACCTAATGTTCAGGCACCATTTTTGACATATTTTCAGAAGAAATTAACCTATTTTGCAAACCTAGTGTTTTGTCTCCTTATGTTCTAAACTTCAAAAATTCTATTTCATTATCACTTAACACACACTAGCCAGATTCTCATGACAGGATTGCCAATCCACATTTCCACAGGGGAGATACTGGGTCATTTACAATAGTAAAATATTCAAGTCCCTCCTTCTGACAGAAATAAAACAAGGTTTGACCCCTTTAAAATATGAAAAGCATAGGACTACTATTGTTCCCCATGTCCTTTAATTAAAGTTCTGAATTTCCAGGAATCTGGAGGACATCCAAGTAAACAAAGAAGAGGAACTTTTTCTTCAGAAAATCACTAGCTGCTATCAAAATGAAGGGGGTTGACTAGAGTGTGAAAGGCCCAAAAGCTTCTGGAAGACAATGTTTTGGGACCTCCATCCTTCTGCCTCATGGGCAAAACCATTTGGGACAGTGGGGGACAAATTTTCTTTGTCACTGAAACTTTCCCACAGAAACCCATTTATCAAATTTCAATGATTTTATAAAAAGTAAAATTCAGCATTATTACTTAGCATAGATTTAGAGGTTTAAATTAATATCAGTGCATTTAAAAGCCCAATATATTAAAAACTCTTTAAAAAATAACGTGCTTTTAAACTACTTCTAAACAAAAAACTGGAAGAAGAGAAAGATTTAGACAGGCTTAAGCAGTGGGTTGAATTCAGTAGAATGGAATTTATCATTATTTGATGAGCATTAAGATAAGGCAAAGGGATTCTAGCACTGGAAGAGAGTGAGTTGAATGGCCATCTGAAAGGTTCCAGTTAAAATTCATGAAAATAGTATACATGCATTTTACTAGGGTTAAAGGAGTGGCTTTGGATAAGATCTGTGACATAGAGCAACTTTACAGCAGTAAACACACCTTCCTTCCTTAAAATCAATAATTGTAAAATGTATATATACATAATACTTGAAAGAAAAATAGGTTAGGGTTAGGCTATCCCAAACCATCTATTCTAGTCTTTGCCACCGAGGCTAAAGGATTTGCCTTGTTGTTCCCTCAACTTTTATGTTTTAAGTGTACTGATGTCTTTCTTATCAAATTTATCAATTCATGCTACTACAAGTAAGCAGGAGGGCTTTCAAGATATCATACTCTAGGTAAAATGAATAGTGTTTTTCATTTTGTGTTCAGTCAAAATAATGATCATGTTTAAGATATTGAAGAAAGTGTAAGAGCCAGATGTTACTCAATTTCAAATAAGGCAAGATAAGTTAATTTTGAGACCAGACAAACAAGCTTAAATACATTTTGAAAGCACTTCCCCATTAGTATATATTTACAGAATGTTTTTCTTTCCATGTATGGAAGCATACTGCATATATTCAACTCCATCGAATTATATAGGATATTATACAAGAATCATCATGGTGGAGGATTTGACTTTTCTGAACCAGGTATCTTAAGCCAGAAATGGATTGTAACACAGCTCTACATATGAATACTTTTGGATTGAAACTTTTGTTTTTGCAAAGAAAAAAACCCTTCAAAAACAACAGGTAACTACAAAACATTTATGCATTTAATACTACTGTTGTCATAAACAAATATCTATAGCATTTATCATAAAAATTTTAGGTTTTGCTTCACTACATTTATAAACAGTCATGTTTAAAGTAAAGTCCATAGGCAACCACGTCATTCCTAATTGGGAATAAAAAACCCTTCAGGAAATATTATCAAGCAACATTACATAATTTTTCCTGAGAAAACAACTATTAAAGTAGACCTGAAGCAATTGCTAATTAATAACGAAAACAGGATTTAGGTTTTAGCAGCACTACCACTTCCTCCAATTATAACAACACTGTTGGTTTTTGTTATGTAGCAATAAATCAAGTACTTTGTTGTTGTTTTTTAAAAACATCCAGATTCTCATTTAAATGAATTGTATTTTTCATTCTTCATCAGAAAAAAATATCTACATAGAATTTTATTTCCCACAAATAAAAATAAAGTGACAAATCCATCTGGTCTATTGCAGATCTTTCCAGAGATCTAATATTGTTTCAATTGTGTATACTTTTTGTTTTTATCAACTTTGAAATGCATGCATTACTTAGCAACTTACACAGTATACATTCCTCAATATGAAAAGGGGAGGTGTTGTATTTCTGGCAACTGATTTATTTATTTCCACAATCAACACCATATACTCAGGAACAGTCACACTGAATAAATTAGATTATAACAATATAAAAAAACCTCCAATACATAAAAGCGTATCAGTCTTTTAATATACTCAGCCATACAACCTATCATAACACTGATCTGTGTAGCACAGAAGACAAATGTACATAATGTCTCAACTGCAATCCAACAAAAATCTAGTCTCTCAATTATAGCGCCTTGCAAAACAGTAACAGATTTTTCACTAGTCCAAACATGCTTCCACCTGAAACAAAAACTAGGCCGTAATATTAAAAAGCACGCTCACCTGAATAAATGAGTTACCTTTCCCATCACTTTCCAACGTAAATAAAATCAATAGCAGTCGGTAGGATATCGAAGTTCCTACTTAACTTTCCAAATATAGGGAAAAGTTTAGACGAACCAGGAAGTCAACTAGTTTCCTAGCCTTAATTGGGGAGGAAGCCCATTCAAACTTCCCGTCCCGTATCCTACTTGTTCGCGTAATTATGACTAATTGGAGACTCTGGAGTCTTCCAAGATGAGAAAATATGCGACTCCGGCAGCATTATCGCTCAGGGACTAGTTGCAACCGTTGATGCCGCCGGAGGGGTGTGAACCGCAAAAACAGCCACTTTCTCCATCATATTTAGGTCTGGCTTGTAGGGAGAGAGCGAAACCAGCCAAGAATGCCCGACTGAGGTGGGGGGGAAGAGACCAGCTTAACATATTATGGAGCGCCGGGAGGGCTTCCTGTGCCCCCCCCACCAGTCCTGAGTGAGGGCTGCGGAGGGACGGACCGTGTCGTGTCGCGGGGCATTTGTTCTCCACTCCCAGGAGGAAACGAGGCGGACTTCTAGGGCGGCCCCCGCCTCAAAGGCCAGGAAGGAAAGGTCATTCCATCGGAGTTAATGGGGCGAAGACTCCCGCCTCTCCCGCCTTACCCATGCTGCGAGAGCCCGGCTGGGCTGCAAGCCCGCCACCGCCGTCGCTCCTTCCTCAGCCTCCCGGGCCTCACGCTCTAGCAGCCGCCAAGCTCAGGCCAGACTCGGCAGCTCCCCATCGGCACTCGCACGGCGCGTCTCGGGCAGGAGGAGTCGGGCTCGCTTCGTGCTGGCCGCGGCGGCCGCAGCAGCAGCCGCTAGCCAAATCTTCGCCGTCCGCAGCGCTGGCTGGCGGTCTGGTCCTGCTTCCTCTTCCTTGCGTCCCGCCCGCCAGACACGGGAATGGGGGCCGGCCTGGGGGCGACAAATCCCGCGAGACCTCGGCGGGCCCTCTCCCCGTCCCCTCCCGGAGCGCCGGGCAGCGCTGCCAGCTGCCTGCGGTTGCCAGGTGCGGGCGGTGCCGGCTGCTCCTCCCGCTCGTGAACCCGTGCCGCCTCCGCGAGGAGGGACAGGAGGCCGTTCTTGGCGCGCTTGGCGTGTCCCGGCCTTTCCGTCCGCTCGGGATTAAATGGAAAGCGACACGAGGAAGTGCACGTGCGAGGGTCGATTCGCCGCTGAGCCTAATTTTGTACCCAGCCTGTCAGCACATTAACTTCAACATAACTTTGTAAAGAGTAGCCCTGTCTGGCAATAGGGGCCTGTTTTGAGAGGCTACACGGACATCCTCCAGTGAAACGTCAGCATGGGAAAGAGCGTAGAGCTCCCATACGGGTTTTATGAGACAGCCCCACCTGCATGGGAGGATGAGGGCGAGAGGGATGTAACATCATTTTGCACGGGAAAGGTTTTAGAGACAGTCTGGGGCCTCTTTAATAAAAGTACGGTGTAGCCCGCGATGGGAAAGAAATGAGTCTCTGAAGACAATGGTGGGCTGGTTGGAACTAAAACTCCAACCTGTTATCAACTGTTTCCTGTTTGCTTAGAAAACAGCACTTAGACTTGCTCAGTAGACAAAATAGACTAACCCCCTTAAGAGTTCCTTTCGTGTGGATTGATAGATACAGGAAGTTACTGTTTGGGGCAGGCATATAAATAACAGGATCCCTGCCTACTGTGTCAATCTTCAGTTTGTGATTTTCGAGGCCATCCATTTTAAGACTTAACAAGGAGAGTAGGTAGGGTCTATCATTACACAAAGCAAGGCAGGAGCAGGCGTAGAGCAGGAAATGACAGCCAGCCATTCAAGAAGAAAGTACATAGTGTACACCAGATGTTCTATTCTAAACCCTTCAAAGTAGCTAAGAGGAATAAAGAAGCCCATCCTACTGCTTAGGTGTTGAACTGAAATGCATCTGCCAATCCAGCCATTTTTCTAAATTGAATACAAGGAAGCCTTCCTTGTAGGAATCAAAATGTCCTGGGGCTGTGATTTCCCCCCACCCATTTGCCCCCAAATGAAAAATGTGAATAAGGATATTAATGAAATCCAAACTGTAACTCGGTAGAGCAATTTCATTCATTTTGCTCAGGAGATCCAATATGACTACTACTCTAATAAAAATCTTACGGAATCAAGTATTAGGCCAGCCTTTTCTGTAATTTTAAAAACAACCTATAGAGGAACTGAGACTGAAAGTAGACAGTGAGCTGTTTTCATGGCAAATCTTATGAGGTTAATGATTTTTAAAAAAGGAGATACAGAGCCAGAAACTATTAGAATGTTAAAATTGCCAATCTTTGTGCTCAGCCTGTACAGTATATGATTGCATACATACTGTTTGTATTACAGAAATGCCATCAAATTTCAGTGACTACTTACTGCTGAATAACTTCTGGTGCCCCTCACATTTTCACTTTATAGCAATAGCACTTAGACTTATATACTGCTTCATATTGCTTTACAGCCCTCTCTTAAGAGGTTTACAGAGTCAGCATATGCCCCCAACAGTCTGGGTCCTCATTTTACTGACAGGAAGGATGGAAGGCCAAGTCAACCTTGAGTCACTCAGAATCAAACTCCTGGAATGAGCAGTAAGTTAGCCTGCAGTACTGCATTCTAATCACTGCAACACCATGGCTCTAATAAAAGATTAGATTTGCATATATTTATTTGGATGAAAGTGAGAGATGAGCAATTTTTCTTGTAAGTTTTCAAAATATGAAATTTAACTGCTTTATGCTCCAATATCAGAGGTGGTATTCAGCAGGTTTTGACTAGTTCTGGAGAACAGGTAGTGGAAATTTTGAGTAGTTCGGGGAACCAGCAAATACCACCTCTGACTGGCCCCGCCCCATCTATTCTCTGCTTCCCAAGTCCCAGCTGATCGGCTGGGTCTTCTTTTGTTGCCCCGCACAGGAGAACAGAGCTGGAAAGCAGGTTAGTGGGGTGGGGAGGGAATGAGGATTTTGCAGTAACCTTCCCCCGGGAGTGGGAAGGGAATGGGGATTTTATAGTATCCTTACCCTGCCATACCCACCAAACCATGCCATGCCCAGAAAGCCATGCCCACAGAACCAGTCGTAAAAAAATTGAATCCCACCACTGTCCAATATCATATACTACATGCAGAACCCTGGTTCATGCAAATCACGCCATAAAGATATATTTTATGACAGTCATTTTGGATTGCAAATCATGATTTACAGATAAGTGTGAAAATCCTGTCAATCATCTTTAGCATGGTGCACAAACCAAGGCACTGGCTAAACATGCAGTATGTAGAAATAATGGGGATGGGGTCAAACCAAAATTCCTCAAACAGATTAGTCCCTGGAGTGCCTTTAGCAAAGTTATTTTCTTTTAATTAGCAAAAGGTGTCTTTGTTCTAATCCTCACCTTGTTTGATGAGGATCACTGATCCCACTATTTCTCTCTACAGTTAAACTGTCAATTATTTAGATATTTAAATATGCACAAATGAGCTTGGTCATTGCACCCTTCTCCCAAGTGGTGAACTCTCCAATTTGCATAGGATCAAAGAGAGCTGTGGGCAGGGCGGAGAGAGGGCAGCAATGCTCTCTTCATCATTAATTCACTCTCGGCCTTATCTGCCCATCCTTCCACCCATATTTTCCAACTTTAAAACTGCTTTCTCTCCCACATACATCTCAAGGAATAAGCAGAGAAACAGTAGGTCCAGCTGTTGCTCATTGTTTTTCACATGTTTCTCTTTATAATCTTCAGGTGGTCATGAAGATGCAGATGCAATTTGTGGGGCCTCTCGCAAGAATTTACCAGCAACATCACAGGAGTGACTAGCTCTTTTGGTGAAGAAAAAAAACAACAATTTCATCATGAGAGCAGCAGAAGAGCCATGCCCAGCATGATACAGCCAAAGAAAAGCAATCAGTAAATCAAATCATGTCTTGATTAGCAGATATAGGCTGCAAAAACCAGTTTCACTAGTTCTAGGGCAGTCCTAGCTTTTTCTGAGAAGTCCCCAAATCAACAATGAGGGATGTTTTGTTTGGAATCAGGAGAGGATAAGTTGTTTATTCTCCAGAGATGTTATGCCTATTAAATAAAAATTAAGAACCATTTATATTCCCCAAATGCATAGATAACAAACTGGTTTTTGCATGTCCCTAAGCTTCCCTTACTTCCCTTACTCGAGATCTCCTTTGTTCATTTTCAAGCCAAATAAAAAGGCTGGATCTTAGGTACAAAGGAAATAGTAGGACAGGGGTGTCAAACTCGCATTTTCACAGCGGTGTCATGTGATGCAACCCCTTTGCTAAACTGGGCATGGGCGTGGCCAAAGTGTGACGCATCCAGCCTGTGGGATGACAGCCCTGTAGTAGGACATGCCCAGTTTTGTCATCCTGCCCTTATCAAACATGTACTTGGCCATGGGAAGCAGCAGTTGAACTGTGAAGCTCACTTTCTCTGAAATCTGATGATAACGCTGCACTCTTCTTATCTCAAGAGATGCTCCACATTTTGATAATTCATCTCACAAAAATGAAAGAAGGAAATTCTGGCGCATTACTTAGCATAGCAGTTTTGGTGCCATGAGGGAATTGCTCAAAAGTCACAGATCAAGCAAATGTTCAATGTAGTTATTACCCTCGAAATATTTCCAGCCCACATCTGTGATGTCATTTTTTTTTTTAAAAAAACTAAAGCTTCAAGTCAACTTTCTCCTGAAACCTAGTATCTCATGTAGACAACATGTGACCCCTTAGGTCGTCCTTTCAGAAGTATTTCATTATCAGATTCCTCAGTTCTTTCAACCAGGGACAGAGTTTCTAATTAACTGCTTTACAGAAAAAAACTGGGATACATTTGTGTTGAAAAACCATAGCACAGTCAGAAATCAGCACAGGAAATATCACATTCTGAATTATGTGATTCACTAATAATTTGGTATCATAAAATGTTTTATAAAATTTGCCAAATTTCAGTTCCACGGGAGTCATGGATCCTAGATTTTGGACACATTTATTGTTACTCTATTTTCGTTTTGTTTTTTAAACTTTTGTTAATTATATATATTTTAGTTAAGCTGCAATTAAATTACTATTTGTTAGTTGGCCCATCTATTGATCAAATTTTTGGAATAAAAGATGTAAATAAATCAAAGAAAAAGTTAATATTTGTGGGAAATAACTATATATAGCCATAAATCTCAGAAAATAGAGGCAAAGCAAAGATCAGAAAGTTTAGCATTATTCTTAAAAATAAATTACATTGAGGTATACAGATCATTCAGCAGCTTTGAGAACTGTTCGCTATCTTGAATTAAATTAAATTAAAGTGACAAATCTTCATTAAAAATTATTTTTCTTCTAAGGCTTTCCTTTGAATATTTTCATTTTAAATGTAATAATTTGAAACAGCTGGGTATTCCTTTGTGTGCAAACAAAAGGCACATTCAAGGACAGGTCTATAGAATAAAATTCTGAAGCTTCTGTGATGCAAGGCATTTCAATTTACAGAATGTTTTTCTAGACTTTAAAAATAAATTGTTTGTGAGTTTATAGTGAAACATTTCCAAACTGTAATTATAGAATCTTTTATTAGAAGGGAGAAAAATGTGGCTGTCCCAACAGGAAGACAAGAGAAGGCAAAGTCTTACTCTGTAATTATGCTTCAGGAATGCCAAGTATCTACCTTTCTTGCTTTATTTTAATATTGACAACCAGCACTAAGCTTCCTTAAATCCATTCAAAAGCAGGAGTGGATTTGCTGAAAGATGAATTTCTGATAACAAAAACAGGTACTGTTTTACTACAAACACTGGCTATTACTGCTGATAACAAGTAACCACAAAGAAAGTGACTGGATTATTTGCATACTTTTTTGTGCAATGTTTGGTGCATTTGGGATTCAGTCAAGCTTTGGTATATAGATTCTTGCAACATTCAATGTTCTCTGCTTTGTGTCCAGGAAAAAAAAATACTATGGAAAATATATTTCAAACTTATTGGAAAGGATT